TTGTGGCAAGTTCTTAGTGGGATGGGCATCCCAAGCCACCTTGTCTCTCTCCTGAGGAATCTGTACAAGGACCAAGTAGCAACAGTAAGAACTGACCATGGAACAACAGAGTGGTTCAAGATTGGGAAAGGCGTACGGCAAGGCTGCATCCTCTCACCCAACCTTTTTAACTTGTATGCAGAACACATCATGCGATGTGCGGGCTGGATGAATGCAAAGCTGGGGTGAAAATTGCTGGAAGAAACATTAACAACCTCAGATATGCAGATGACACCACTTGATGGCCAAAAGCGAGGAGGAGCTGAGGAGCCTTCTAATCAAGGTGAAAGAAGAAAGCGCAAAAGCTGGGTTGCAGCTAAACATCAAAAAAACCAAGATTATGGCAACAAGAATGATTGACAACTGGAAAATAGAGGGAGAAACCGTGGAGGCCGGGACAGACTTTGTATTTCTAGGTGCAAAGATTACTGCAGATGCAGACTGTGGCCAGGAAATCAGAAGACGCTTACTTCTTGGGAGGAGAGCAATGTCCAGTCTCGATAAAATAGTAAAGAGTAGAGACATCAAACTGGCAACAAAGATCCGCCTAGTCAAAGCCATGGTATTCCCTGTAGTAACCTACGGATGTGAGAGCTGGACCTTAGGGAAGGCTGAGCGAAGGAAGATCGATGCTTTTGAGCTGTGGTGTTGGAGGAAAGTTCTGAGAGTGCCTTGGACTGCGAGAAGATCCAACCAGTCCATCCTCCAGGAAATAAAGCCGGACTGCTCACTGGAGGGAAGGATACTAGAGACAAAGTTGAAGTACTTTGGCCACATCATGAGGAGACAGGAAAGCCTAGAGAAGACAATGATGCTGGGGAAAGTGGAAGGCAAAAGGAAGAGGGGCCGACCAAGGGCAAGATGGATGGATGGCATCCTTGAAGTGACTGGACTGACCTTGAGGGAGCTGGGGGTGGTGACAGCTGACAGGGAGCTCTGGCGTGGGCTGGTCCATGAGGTCACGAAGAGTCGGAGACGACTGAACGAATGAACAACAACATAGTTCACCTGCAATCAAAGAGCATTCTGAACCCTACCAATGATAGAATTGGGCCAAACTTCCCACCGTGACCCCCCCCCATGACCAACAGAAAATACTGTGTTTTCTGATGGCCTTTGGCGGCCCCTCTGAAACCCCCTTGTGTCCTGATTCCCAAGTTAAGAAATGCTGTTCTAGATGCATCCTTAGGCTGTGTCTGTCAGTACAAAATGATATGAATGTAGTCTTCCACATGTCAGACTCATTTGCTCCTGTTGGGTATGGTAGCTAAGGCTGGTGAAAAGCGTAATCCATCCAAAAACATCTAGAGGGGCAAAGGCTACTTATGGTCGTCCTTTTCTAGAATTTGAGTCAACATGTTGGTTTCCAGTGGTGATGAAAGTTGTGTTATTTTGTCATTTTCAAATTCTTAATCCCATATATTGAAAAAAATATTAAAGGTCTGATTCTTATGATCTTAAATTTGCATTTTTTCATATTTTCAGATAGATGTACAGCTATACATTATGTCTTTTCTGACACCCAAAGATTTGAGTTATTTGGGAAGTACCAGTTGCTACTGGAGGCTTGCGGTCCAAGATCCTTTACTCTGGAGACACTTTCTGATTCGGGATGTCCCTTCTTGGTCTGCCATGGACTGGAAGTCACTCCCAGATGCAAAGATATTTGACAGATCCTTCCCTGCCTTCCATAATGATACCTCATATGACTACATGGCAGCGTAAGTATCCTATACAAACTCATGTAGAAGCAGATCAAACTGTGTTCAATTGAAAGCAATCTAATTTATGTAAGCCTCACTCTGGCACCATCTACACTGCTATATCAAATCCAGTTTTTCTGCTTTGAACTGGATTATATGGCAGTGTAGACTTCTATAATCCAGTGTAAAGTAGATTATATGCTTTGATAATCTGAATTATATGGATGTGTAGATACAGCCTCTGTTCCGTGGGCGTTTATTCCTGACATGTATAGGATTGTGTATAGGATTGGCCTCTTACAGTTTCGTGCAAAACATTGGTTTCAAAATCACCCCTAGCATATGATACATCAAGAGCAAAGCACAGACCACCTACTACAATGCAACCTGAACTCTGCCACATGCACAATGGAGGACCTTCTCACAATGACCAGAGGCACTTCAAGCAGCCAGCTTCTGGTCAAAGGACATTTAGTATAATGCCAAGTTTTTAACTTTGTTTGTGTTTTTAAATACATTATAACTGTTCCTTCACTTCTGACACAATAAATAAATATCAATAGATGTAAACAGAGACTGATTGTTGTTTACTAGGATGTTCCCAGGATCTGGCACTGTAGCTAAATCATTATATGGGGTGGCCCTGGACACATATCATTACAGTTAACAGTATTTCTAGCATAGCTCAAATGGCAGAGTTCGACAAAACAATACAGGCTATGGGTGAGATGTAAGCTATTGCAAAAATGGCATTAACTAGGGTTAGCTGAAAATGGCATTAACTAGGGTTAGAAGGCCAGCTGAATTTGTTAATTCATATTTTATGTCAACATTGTTTGATTCTGGAGGGATTTAAAGCTCGGCTTGCTTGTGCTGAAGTTCTAAGAGGTCAACAGCTGAGTACAGGTGCATGTACACTGTAGAATTACTGTAGTTTTCACACCACTTTTACTGCCTTTGTTCAGTGCCATGGCTGGTATTTATTTATTGTATCAGATGTGAACCGGCGGTACAGTTGTAATTTATTTAAAAAACACAACGTTTAAAAAACTCGGCATTATACTAAATGTCCCTTGACCAGAAGGTCCTCCATTGAGCATGAGGCAAGGCTCAGGCTGCATTGTAATAGGTTGTCTGTGGTTTGCTCTTCTCCACACTCGCATGTCGTAGACTCCACTTTGTGGCCCCAATTCTTAAGGTTGGCTCTGCATCTCATGGTGCCAGAGCGCAGTCTGTTTTGCTCCTTCCAAGTTGCCCAGTCTTCTGTGTGCCCAGGAGGAAGTCTCTCATTTGGTATCAGGCATGGCTTGAGGTTCCGGGTTTTAGCCTGCCACTTTTGGACTCTCGCTTGCTGAGGTGTCCATGCAAATATTTCTGTAGATCTTAGAAAACGATTTCTTGATTTAAGGAGTTGGTGTGCTGGCTGATATCTGAACAGGGCCAGAGATGTCACTGCCTTGGCCCTTTCATTATAGTCTGCTACTTCCCGGTGGAAGTAAGGTGGTGCAATACCGGCTAAACAGTATAATTTCTCCAGTGGCGTAGGGCATAGACAATCCTATGATAATGCAGCATGTCTCATTAAGAGCCACATCCACTGTTTTTAGCATGGTGAGATGTGTTCCACACTGGGCATGCGTACTCAGCAGCAGAGTAGCAAAGCGCAAGGGCAGATGTCTTCACTGTATCTGGTTGTGATCCCCAGGTTGTGCCAGTCAGCTTTCATGTGATATTGTTTCTAGAACCCAGTTTTTGCTTGATATTCAAGCAATGCTTCTTATAAGTCAGAGCACAGTCCAGTGTATCTCCCAAGTATTTGGGAGTGCTATAATGCTCTTTGTCTGGTAATAGAATATTAATGACAACCAAACATTGGAGTTGGATTCTGGAAACCAAAGTTTGGATCCCCCCTCAGCTATGGAAACCTACTGGGTGACTTTAGGCAAGCTTCTGAAGAAGGTAAAAGCAAACCCACTCTGAAAAAATCTTGCCAAGAAAACCCTTTGATAGGTTTCAATTGGTTGGAATTGACTTGAAGGCATGCAACAAGTACACCAACCTCCACTGCTTCCTTGTGGCACATTCTCTAGTGTACCCAACCATTTCATTCTGTCCCACGTAGCCATGCGTTTTGTTTCACATGTTTCTGTCCTACTATAAACAAACATAATCATGACAGTGTAGTTTATATACAAGTATTGAAACAGTAAAAATAACATTAATGTCTGCTTTAGCATAGAAAGGAATATGAGTATGTAAGGCAATTCAAATCTGAGCGTTTTCTATACTAGGAGAGTATGTCATCCACCAGATATTGGACTGCATTTCCCATTATCCTGTGATAATTTGGGTTTATTAGAACAGGATCTCAACACTGCATGCTCACGTTCTGTATGCTATATTTATATCTCATTTTGTCTCTGATATCCCAGGGCATCTTATATTCGCATTGCCAGCGTTCTCTAATCCTGACTGATACTCCATCCTTGCTTAGATTAAGCTTTATACTTTTCCTTACTTTTATGAAGCCCTTTAATATAATAGACATTGTTAGAAAATGCACAACATACCTATATTATTTTGCAGCCCGCCTTGTTTTTCTTGTTCTTGTTTCACACAGGTACAGAAAGTGCCATTCTTGTTGCAAACAGTCTCTGAGATCCAGGCAGACCACATATGGAACCATGGCTTCCTTTTTTCAGTCATTGATTACACAGCCGGAGCCTCGCTTTGCTATGTTTGGGCCTGGTTTGGAAGACCTGAGTGAATCTTTGATGCACAAAATGATGGGGACACCAGACATTTTGCCACTGGCTGGTATTCCTTCGAGACAAATACATGGTAATTTATTATTCTGTTGCAGTATATTTGGGGGAGGGGGGTTGCCTTTTAATGGACAGAGATGCAATGTTTGCAGCAGACCCACTCCTTAAAAGGGGCATCAATTTTGCAATGTCCTGAACTTGCTGTGAGTTATCAACCCCATGTTTTCTATTGTGTGTCCTGGAAGGGTAGAACATAGGCAAGGAACTATAGTACAGTAGGCCCTCTACTTTCACAAGGGTTAGGGGCACAGAACCCCTGCAAAAGTCGGAGAGGAAACAGACCATCTCTATAGGAATCTCTAATTACTCCAGGATGACTCTGTGATCTGCTTCTCCCAGATATTGACCATAAGATCACCCTGGAGTTCCTAGAGATTCCTTGAGAGGCTATATTAATCATAGCCATGAATGGTGGGGCTGCAGTAGCACATCGGTTAAAGCCACTAGCTGCAGGAAAGGCTGCTCATTAGAGAGTCAACAGTTTGAAGGCATGAGTCGGGGTGAGCTCCCGATTGTCAGTCCTAGCTTCTGTCAACCTAGTAGTTCAAAAGCATGCAATGCGAGTAGATCAATAGGTACTGCCTCAGCAGGAAGGTAAAGGGGCACCCCATATGCCGGCAATATATATATTGGAGATGTCTACAGGCAGCAAGGCTACTTTGGCATGAGAAATGAAACAGAGCACCTCCCCATGGCTGGAAGTTGAGCATCGCCTCCAGGCGATGGAAAAAAGGGAAGGCTTTTACCTTATCTGTGTATTGTATGTTGTTCATGTAAAAAGACATTGAATGTTTGCTTTATATGTGTACTGTAATCCGCTCTGAGACCCTCCAAGGAGATAAAGCGGAATATAAATGTAAATGATGATGATGATGATGATTATTATTATTTGATACATAACAAGATTAGTGCACAGCAAACAAGATCACTATGCTGGCTTTTGTATTCAATCACACATCAGACACTTCCCAAGTTTCTAGGACTGTGGGATGTATTGGTAGTTCTATCTTTAAATCCTCATATCATGTAAGCTTTCCCAGTTGCTTCTCCTCAATCCTGCTGTCACCTGGAATTGCAACATTGATTTCCCCACAATTGTGAGGTCAGGAGTATTGTGCTCCAAAACTCTTGTCAGTCTGAATTTGGAAGTCCCTGAATCGATGATGATGATGATGATAATAATAATAATAATAATAATAATAATTATTATTATTATTATTATTGTTCCGCAAAAGTTTAACCTACAAATGTGGAGGACCAACTATGCAATAAAACCCATGTTTTTGAAGTATGTGGAGATCCAAGTGACCTGCTTCTTAGAACCCAAACAAAATGAGAACGATTCCTTCAGTTATTAAGAGATGTCACTAATTAGGCACTGCATGTATTCCATTAATGAGCTCTATAGGTGTTTCAAAGCTGTCATTAAAAGTCTTTTTTCTTTCTTTCTTTTCCACTGGTCTCAAACAGGGATAGGCTCAGGAGTCACATTTCATCTGAACAGCCAGAAATTCAACATTTTGACCCTGTATTCAAGAATCAGGTACATTTATAAAGATTAATCTATTAACAACAACTCCACTACCTCTACCGTCCCTTTTCTTCATTTTACCTGACTCTTCTATTTCCCCCTTTTGTGTAAAAAAATGGAAATCTTCAAATGTTTTATTGATGTCTCTTGCAAGGGAAAGTAAATACTACTGTATTTTATCTGTGTAAACATCTTTCAGGCAAGTCTTGAACCACAACCCAGAGTACTGCACAACTCATTTCACACATCTAGTAGGGATTGGGGGTTGTAACATAATTCAAAATGGCTTCCCTGTTTTTGCCTGCCTTGCCTAGTATCAGAAGAAATTGGTTTTGTATTTTATCAGCAAGGAAAGACGAAGACCGAAAGAAGAGGACACCACTCCCGTCAACAAAATATTCCACACAGAGAACAACACTGATGGCACAACACAGTACACTCTGATTGATCATGTTAAAAATATGTGTGGACTCATTGATGGATTCATCTATGTTGCAGATGCTGAGGTGCATAAAAGTAAGGACCTTACAATAACTTTTCAATTTTCTAGGGGGTGTTTTAGGAAGTCCTTCAAAAGTATGAACCAAGTGACTTTTCAAATCATAGGGTTAGAAAAGACTACAAGGGCCATCCAGTCCAACCTCCTGCCATGCAGGAACACAGAATCGAAGTAGTCCCGACAGGTGGTCATCCAGCCTGTTTAAAAACCTCCAGAGAAGGAGACTTCATCACAATTTGAGGCAACACTTCCAACTGTTGAACAGTTCTGGCCATCAGGAAGTTTTTCTTTTGTCTAGGTGGAATTTTCCCCCCTTTTAATTTGATTCCCCTGTAATTTCAATCCATTGCTCCATGTCCTAGTCTCCAGGGCAACAGAAAACAAACTTACTCCCTCCTCAACATGATATTCTTTCAAATATTGAAGCATGGCTATCATGCCTCCCAACCTTCTCCAAGCTCTCTTAATAGGGCTTGGCTTCCAGACCTTTAACCACTTTGGTCTCTCTTCTGGATATTGGTGGACTTTCCACAAGCCCCGGCCAGTAGTCAATGGTACACCCCATGGGTAGGAATGCCATGCACTGCAATATAATACAATGTAGAGGACCATGTGATTCTCACCATCGCTATAGCTAATAGATAATTTTGAAACAAAGCTTTCTGTCTTTGCAGGACACGATCGTCCAACTGAATTTGCTCAAATGATGGCAATGCTTGATCCAGCTCTTGGACCTTCTGACAGACCTCTCTTGGTTTTGTCCTGTGTTTCTGATGCTGAGATGAAAAGGATCCCATGTGTTTATGTAGCACATCAGCTTCAACTAAACCTGCTTAGTCAACCTTGGATGGTACTTTTTATTTAATCTCATTACCTCTGTTTCAAATTATCTTCTTCGATCTGTTTTCATCATGAAACTGGGTGACTGTAGGTTCAGGAAGGAGCCCCCGGTGGCGCAATGGGTTAAACCCTTGGGCTGGCAGGACTGAAGACCGACAGGTCGCAGGTTCGAACCCAGGGAGAGTGCCAATGAGCTCCTTCTGTCAGCTCCAGCTCCCCATGCGGAGACATGAGAGAGCCTTCCCAAAAGGATGGTAAAACATCAAAACATCTGGGCATCCCCTGGGCAAGGTTCTTGCAGACAACCAATTCTCTCACACCAGAAACAACTTGCAGTTTCTCAAGTCGCTCCTGACATGATGACACCTCTGTTCCAAATTAACTGGCTGTCGTTTTTCACTACCATCCTATAAAAGATATGCACACATATGCCAGTCTTGCAATGTCTTATACAGCTTTGCTTTCTGTTGGAAGAAAGACCTTTTGGTTTTGTATAACAAGCTCAACATCTGCTTCTCTCTTGGGTTTTACAGATTCAGGACACTGAAGCGGCCTCCTTAGCTGGACTGTTGGATGGAATTCATTGGCTCCTGAAACAAACTGTACATAGAAATACTCAATAAATGGACTTTTTAAAGAGTGCCAATAGACTTTTTTAAACTATAAGCAAATATGTTATCATAATTTCTGATCATGTCTTTCTTAGAAGAGACTATTGATACGAAGAAGGACTGAAGCTGTCATAACACCAACTGGCAGCTTAAGAGCTCCCAATGACAAGGTGTATTATGACGTTTGTTGTTTTGTATGGCTGAAGGAATTGATATTGCTTAGAGGCATGAAACTTGTGGAAATAATTTAAGATTTAGGTGCCATAGATATCTTTGATATTATAGAATTGGATAGCTTTCTGTTAGGAGTGCTTTTAGTTTTATTCCTGTAGGGTTTGGGGGTTGGACTAGATGATCCTTATAGTCTCTTCCAGCTCTACGATTCTATAAATCATCATCTATAATTATCAGCACCGACTACATAGGAGACAGAGGAAACTCAAGGTTAAGTCATTTAATTGCACTACAAATTATAACAGAATGGCTATCTTAGTGCAGCACAAAAATATGCTTATAATAGGTTTTTTAAAAATCTCATTAAAAACAAAAATAACCTGACTGACATCAAGGGAGAAGTCCACGGAGACTTCCTAATTCTGGTGTAATATAGTGTAGACAGCACATTTTCCTTTCCCTTAAGTCGCAAGCAGGGCATTTTAGTTCCTAAGCGTCACACATTTTTGCAGAATTCACATAGAAGTAGGCCTGAATAATCTGGTTACATCCTGTATAGACTACTGCAATGCGCTCTACATGGGGTTGCCTTTGAAGACTGTTTGGAAGCTTCAAATGGTCCAATGAGCGGCAGCCAGATTGCTCACTAGAGCGGCATACAGGGAGCATATAACCCCACTGTTACGTCAGCTCCACTGGCTGCCAGTCTGCTACCGAGCACAATTCAAAGTGCTGGCTTTTGCCTATAAAGCCCTAAACAGTTCTGGCCCAGCTTACCTATCCGAACGAATCTCCCCCATGAACCATCTTGGAATTTAAGATCATCAGGGGAGGCCCTACTCTCGTTCCTCCCTTTGAAGGCGCGTCTGGCAGGGATAAGAAACAGGGCCTTCTCAGTGATGGCCCCTTGGCTGTGGAATTCTCTCCCCAGGGATATTAGATCACCCCCTCCCTCCTGATCTTCTGTAAAAGAGTGAAAATGTGGATGTGTGACGAAGCCTTTGGAGAACTTGTGCAAAAAATAGATATGGAATGGTGATGTGCAATAACTATTGGAACAGCCCAGATTACGCTTGAGGATTATGTGATTAATTGTGAAGATTTTGTCTTAAATGTTTTACATTGTTTTAATGTATTTTATAATTCTATTTAAATGTTTATTTTAATTTTGCATTGTTTTATGTCATCAAATAGTTGCCTATGTGTGAGTCACCTTGAATCCCCTGCAGGGTGGAGAAAGGCAGGGTAGAAATGTCGTAAATAAGTAATAAATAATAAATAAATTATAAACAATGTCCCAAACCCACATGGCATGTTCATGATTTGTTTTTTAAATAAAAAAACAATAACAATAACATAAATTTCTGGAGAAGAAGGCTTTCTAGAACAAACCTTAGAGAAGGTAGATACAGTCCAACAGTTCCTGGACAACTAATATTAAGGTCATGGCTATCTTCATCTGTATACTTCTCTGGACCCTGAAGTCTTCAAACGAAGCCTTTCTTGGAATATTTTCACCAAGTGAAAGATCAAAGGACCTTTTTCTTAAATTCTGCATTTTATTTTGTTGCAGCTTTGCACTACTGCTGTGTCTTAATGTGTTTTTAATAATCTATGAACCACCCACAGAACTTTAAATTATGTGGTGGCTTTCAAATAAAGGAAATGAACAAACTGGCCCACTCACCAAACCATATGCTTTTGATGAATGACAATGGTAAATGCTTTTGAACGTTATGGGGAACACATCATGCAAATGGTTTAAACTAAAAAAGGAGAATGTGTAGTTCTTCAGCCTTCTTCACATTGGCTATGCTAGCCAAGACTGACCGGAGTTGTAGTCAAATGTCAATACCTTTCCCAACCCTATCTTAAATGTTTATATGCTATTTTGGAATAATTATTTATTTATTTCCAACATTTGTACCCTGTCCTTCTCAACCCCCGAAGGGGGACTCAGGGTGACTTACATGGGCAACAATTTGATGCCATCACATACACAATATATCACAACATTACACATTAAATAAAACAATTGAGTTAATAATCCATTTAAAAACATTATTAGCAACAATGTAGCCATATCCAATCCAATTCAGCATCCAAAGACTTTGTCAGAGCCTGTCCATTGTCAGTTCATGTAAACGTTGCAATTGCTATCAAGCCTGCTCCCCGAATGCCTGGTCCCAGAACCATGATTTAACCTTCTTCCTGAAGGAAAGGAGGGATGAAGCTGACCTAATTTCGCTGGGGAGGGTATTCCACAGGTGGGGGGCCACCACCAAGAAGGCACTGTCTCTTGTCCCCGCCAAACACGTTTGTGAAGAGGGCGGGTCCAAACGATCTTAGAGTCCAAGGTGGGCCATAGAAGGAGATACATTTGGAAAAGTAAGCTGGGCCAGAACCATATCGGGCTTTATAGGTCAAGATCAGTACTTTGAATTGTGCTCGGGAATGGGCCAGCAGCCAGTGGAGCTGACACCACAGGGGGAGTGGTATGCTCCCTGTATGTCACTGCAGTCAGTAATCTGGCTGCTGCCCATTGGACTATTTAGAGTTTCCGAACAGTCTTCAAAGGCAACCCCATGTAGAGTGCATTGCAGTAATCTATTCGGGCATTGACCACTGTGGCCAAGTAAAACTTCCCAAGGTAAGGGCACAGGTGGTGCACTAGGTTTAACTGTGCAAAAGTTCCCCTGGCCACCAAGATTGTTAAGCTACACCAGCACTCTGGCTGAGAGGGTTAAAAATCTTGTAAAACTATATTTCCCATAGTATTGATCCATGGCAGTTAAAGTGGTGTCAAACTTTGATAAAATACTAGGCTTGGGCGGTTTCGTTCGTTAATTTCATAATTCGTTATTAATTCGTATTTAAATTAGCTTACGATCCAATATTGAGCCATGCAGGACTATTGTGAAGAGTAATTAAAAATCGGAAAAAAATTCCAATTTATTTCGTATTGTTTTGTAATTGTTTCGTAATTGGTTCAAAATTGTTTCGAAATTGTTTCATAATTATTTCCGTATGTCTGGTGCAAGTTTTATAGTTGTTGTTTGTTTTATCAGTGATAAAAAATAAATTATCACACCAACACTCAACAACAGAGGGAGAGGGAAGCTTCAGAAGTTCCCCCTGTCCCGTTTGGAGGTTTTTTTAGCATATTGCGCAATCGCGTCCGCCATTAACGAATCGATTCGTAATTTTACGAAATTTCGTATATTTCAAACTTTTTTAAAGGAAAATTTTGGAATTCTTTAAAAAAACGAAACGCAAGGGCCTCCCTAAAAACGAAACGAGTTTAGAACCAAATTTTTCTGTGGTTACCCAAGCCTAGTAAATACATTCTGAGTTTTGTAGAATTCAATGAGGTGTTACCTGTAAAGATTCAAAGTTCCCCCCATCAGCCACCAGAGGTCGCTTTCGTTCTATAGAAGTGAAGTACAGCAATCCCATAAAGGGTTTTTAAATGTGATGTCTTTTCATTTAAACTTAATTTACCTGGACTTTCTGCAGAGAGAAATCCTGTAAACTAGAAAATGGTATACAGATATTTCGAGTATTTTACCATGACTATTAAATCTTTGAGTGTTTCCATTAATTCCTACAAGTAGGAGAATAGAGCACAGACTGCTGTAACAACAACAACAACAACCTTTTTCTTACTCGTCTCCCCCCATGACAATTTATATGTGACTTGAATGTGAGGTATATGTATGTAGATCTATATATAAATATATGTATAAATGTGTAAATAGCACTGGGTGTGCTTCTGAAAAATATAGCTTGGATCCACACCATCACAAAGACTAAATTTTCCTATGTGAATCCTGTTAGGGATAACTACCCAAAAACAAAACAGAGCATCCCAAAATACAAACAGGGAACTTAAAGTTGAGCATTAACTCACAGCATGCAGAGCATGAAGTGCTGTGTGATGTGGCCATAAGGAATTTAGGGCTTAGGCAGGCAAAGATGCAGAGTCCTGTCTTTAAAAATCACAAAAGGCTTATTTACAAAAATAAGAACTGCATTTCTTAATGGTTAAAGAACTGGGTCTGAGCTACTCTAACACCCATCTCTTCTTACGTTTCAAGTGAGGGGGAAAAAACACCAATCATTATGTCTCTCCTGACACACAAGCAGAGAGAGATCTCAAAGCCCACAGCACATACCAAGATATAGGAAATAGAAGTCAAATTTTAAAAGTCTCGCAGTAGAAAAGTATCCATTCTACACAACTAATCGGAATGAGAACAGAAACAGAGAGGAGAGAAGAAATTAAATACATTCCAACTGTCATTCAGGAGACAGGGGGAAAAGAATTCCTCTGCCTATTCTAAGCTAACTATAACTAACTTGTTCCTCATTGAGGACTTGAGGCTTGGGCAGTGTGGGGTTGAATTCCAACCAGCCCATTGGAGTCTTAAAATCACTACCATTCCCATCAACTCCGCTAGACCAGCCATGTTGTCCGGATGCTCGACCACCATCTCCCAAAGCAGTTGCTCTACTCCGAACTCAAGAACAGAAAATGGAATGTTGGAGAACAGGAAAAGAGATTTAAAAATGGGCTCAAAGCCAACCTTAAAAACTCTGACATAGACACTGAGAACTGGGAAGCCCTGGCCCTTGAGCACTGTAGCTGAAGATAAGCTGTGACCAGCAGTGATGTAGAATTTGAAGAGGCACAAATCCTACAAATCTCTTGGACAGACAAGCGGACAAATGTCAGCATGGTGGAAGAAGCAAAGACCACCAGCAATGAAGTGATGGTCCTCTGCCATCAACTCTGCTGGAGTGGCCACGTTGTCCGGATGCCCAAGCACCATCTCCCAAAGCAGTTGCTCTACTCCGAACT